CTCTCTCACTTTATACAAAAACGCAAATGTATAAAATGCGTGAAAATTGTATATATACAAATATTTTCGTTCCCCTCTCCCAGATCTCGCTCACCACTCTCCCAAATCTCGTTCGCTCACTTGCCTCTCTCACTTTATACAATTGATCTTTTTGTATATGTATACCAAAGCAGATTATACAACTGCTTTCTTTTGTATATGCATAGCGAAATATACATATTTATGTTTGCTATAGAGCGCAATTATGCAAACTTTGCTATAGCATACAAATATGAATTTTGTGTTTGTTATATGTGAAAGTTGCTCTTTTTAATTTACAATAAGAGATCAAAAGTGAGAAGGGAGACGTGAGAAGCAAGTATAAGGCAAAATAATTGCACAACAGATGGAGCCAAAGTTATATTCATACTTTTTAGCTTTCAACTTTATGTTATTGTGGAAATAGTTTTTTCCCTTCTTTATTTCTTCCAACTTTTGCTAGTGGTAATATTTTTTCTCCGGATATGGACATTATAATGTACCAATCATGGCTTTAACTGAAAATGATAATTAGTAAAGCAGATTCACTATAATGAATTTAGTCTGTCAAAAAAAAGTCATATTTTTATATTTTAAAATAATTCATATATTCTTAATGAAATAATTTACGATCATATAAATAGTTAAAACTTATTTCACAAGTTTTAAAAGTCTATCTATTTTTTTTATATTTCGTAAATAATTAAATGATGTCACATAAATTGAGATGAAAGAAGTAATAATATAGTATTGAAAATCTAAATTTAAGGAATAATATTTAATTTGTTTGATTAATTTCTATTTAATAAAGTAAATAAAATTAACACAATATAATGAATTCAAAATTTATCTAGAAATTAATCGGCGCACACAAACATAAGGAAGTAGTTATAAATTATAATAGAAAAATAGAAACACACTAGCTGCATTATTTTGTTTCTTTTGGAATATATAAACGACAGGCGAGAAGTCTCTGTAACTTTACTCTTCTCTGAACACACAAAGCAATAACTCTCATTCTCATCTCCCAAATCTACACCCTTCTCCTGCTGCTGCAACTACCACTGCAAATCTCAGACTTACAACTCATAATTTTTGTAATTTTTTAGTTCAGCAAAATGGGAGGATCTGGAGGAGGTATAGTAAGCTTACTCAAGGTCATAATCAGCAACTTTGATGTTCTTGCTGGGTATCTCTTCTTCCTCAATCTTCGCTACCTACTCCTTTTTCTTAGTATTTGTGTTTTTTTCCCTAGTTAATTCATAGATGATGGACCAATTTAGGAGTAATTTATTCTTGTGAAGCTAATTTTTGTTTTCTCTTGTGCGTTTGAAATTGCAGGCCGGTGGTTAGTTTGGTGTATCCTCTGTAAGTGGGTTCACACTTGCTGATTTTACTCTTCTTTTTTTTTTGCCTTATGGCTTCATATGTGATGTTTTGGTACTGGGTTTTGGGTTATTGACAGGTATGCTTCAATTAGGGCTATTGAGACCAAATCCCCCGTGGATGATCAACAATGGCTTACATACTGGATTTTGTATTCTATGATTACACTTTTTGAGCTGACGTTTGCCAAGCTTATTGAATGGTAATTTTTGCTCGGTTGAGACTTGTATATTCTTTTCGGTTGGTCTTTTTCAAATTCCGTGAGAAGGAGAAGTAATTGTCTGTTTATCGCTTGTAGATGGAGCACTACGATTGTTCTCCTTTTGGGGATTTATGTTCTCCATGGTTATTTCAATTATTAAATTTGGCTTTCCTTAGGTTGGGATGAGATGGAAAAACAGATGATAGTTGTGAATAACCTTTTGTGACTTTTCGTAATCATGAAGCCTTTGAGCATTTCATTTCCAAATCTAATTTGGTTCCATCCTAGTCTCTAAATATTTGTCATAGAAGAATGCAGAGACTTTGAATTACTATACACTTTTATGTGATGATGTGACGCCGATTTTAAGTTTTACTAACTTGGTAGATAGAGACTCAACACTAGGTGATTTTTTCCCATCTATCCAAGCCTTGATGGACATAGTTACTTGGTACAAGTCTTGGTGAGAGGTAGCAGGTATCCGTGGAATTAGTCAAGGTGCGCACTAGTTGGCTCTGACACAATGGTTATTAAAAATCAAAAAAAGTTTGGTGTTATAGATTGTCGAACAAGTGATGAGTGATGACACACTACCTAAGGAATAGAAAGATCATCTCCTGATTGCAGTTTGCTATTAGGAGTAGGAATAGTAAGTCAACAGTCCTTCAACAAATTATAGTCATAGAAAAAATGGGGTCACAAAGTAATTATGCTTGAAACATTGTTAGGCCAGGTGAAAATGATTCTGATGGTTAAGTAAATGTTCCTCTGAAATCATATACAGTGACATCTTGGAGCAGCTGTCATGATTGACAAAAGTTTTGAATGGTTACCAAGTGGGCTAGTACTCATATAGTGGAGTCTTCACTAGTGTATTTGAAGCAAGAGCAGTGATCTTAATAACTATCTGTTTGACAATTTCTTGTGAATATGGTTGTATAAGAAACTGGATTGTCAAGATAAATGCAAAAATGAGTTGGTGATCGTGTAGTTGACCTTACCTTGGTTGAAATGATATGTTGGAGCACAAGGTACTTTCATATTGAGCTAAGGTTTGGGACACTTTCTCCCCCTCACCCACTCTTCCTTTTAACTATGGGTCATGTTTCTCATCATATTTGTCCCTTTCTTTCGAACTCATCATATTTTCTGAAGAAGCCCATTGAACACTGAAAGGAAAAAGTGAGTAAAACGGATTGATAGAAACACATTTGTCTGGCATGGTACATGAGTTTTTTCTTATATCAGTTTGCTTCTAGTGAGTTTAGATGTTCACTAAATCTTTTCCGAATGCCAGATCTGGATTTTTTTCATTATATATTTTATTCACTTTCTATGTCAGGCTTCCTTTCTGGTCATATGCAAAACTGATAGCGACCTGCTGGTTGGTCATACCTTACTTCAATGGTGCTGCGTATGTGTATGAGCATTATATTAGGACTTATATTGTCCAACGAAAAGCAGTTAACATCTGGTATGTGCCACGAAAGAAGGATGTCTTTAGTAAGCCAGATGACATCCTGACTGCTGCGGAGAAATACATAAAAGAACATGGAACCCAAGCATTTGAGGAGATGATCCACAAGGTATGATAATCAGTTCGCTGTGTTATTTATATTTTGAGGAAATGTCAGACTCATAGAAACCAAATTTATATTTTGAGGAAATGTCAGACTCATGGAAACCAAGTGACTTCAGGTACTGAAACTGCAAAATTCATGTTTTCAAGAACTGGCTCATTTCATTTTATTTCCCTGCAGGCTGACGGAGAACGAAAGACCCATACCAGCAATTATGTGTTTTATGATGACGACTACAGATACTGAGCCTTGATCACTACAGTTCTTTTTGTTTGGTTTCTGCTGCTCCAGTACTTTAGGAAAGGCAGAGATCTATCTGATGTTGTAAAGAGGTGCCCTGAAACTGATGTTTGGTCTTTCTCCGTGTGGACTACTATCTTTGGTTTTATAGAGTTTTTCGCAATCCTCTAACCTATGTATGTTATAAACTAATACTACTCATCCTTGTCACCGAGTCTTTTCTCCTAGATACTGTCTGTAATTGTTAATTTCAAGCAGTTTGTTAGTGATAATGAGAATCGTCGCTCTATTTATCTTTCAGCTGGATTAGGAGATTTCATCACATTCAAAACTTTGGCTTTCTATTACTCTGATCACTAACGAAGTCTGAGTGGAGTTGATTGTTTGCCTGACTTAACGCAACTTTTAAAATACGCAAGCGAGTGCTGCGTTGTACTCCCGCTTGACACAGGAAACTGGAGCAGCCTGAAAGTGTATTAGGCACTTGAACTTTTCAATAATGGTCTTCAACTTTTCTTTGTTACTCGATGATCCTTTTGTTTGTCAATCTAGAGAGGTATTGGGACCTTTGGTCAGATAAGTTGATTAACTTTTTGGTAGACGTTGAAGTTGGTTTAAACATAGTGGTAGAAAAAGACAAAAAATTTAGAATATCTTGCAAATTAAGTATCAACAAAATAGAATATCTTGCAAATTAAATACCAAGTGACTCAAAAAAATAAAATAAGAAGTTGGTTTAAAGTTTAAAAATAGTGGTAGAAAAAGACAAAAAAAAGAATAATTATGGGGGCATTCCGAGAATTGAACTCGGGACCTCTCGCACCCTAAGCGAGAATCATACCACTAGACCAAATGCCCATCTTGTTATATTGTTTTAAATAAACAATTTGATTATTGTAGAACGTTGAAAGAAGATATACAGTAAATCCCAATTGGTTTGATATTGAAGTTCAGTTTACCCAATGTTTTTAAATTTGTCTTGATAGTTCATTTTTATTTTTATAAAAGAGAACCACTCATTAAACATGCATTACCTTAATACCTTGTATCATGTCATACAACAAACCATTCGATGTGGGGTGTCCCAAAATTGACAATTTTTAATTTTGTACAAATTAAATAATTTAAATCCATTAAAATCTTCAAATTCTAAATATTAATTGATACAATATTTTCTCTATCAAACAAACTATTCAATCATTGCTTTATATCTAATTCCATTATCATAAATTCATCACTATATTATACTAGTCAATAAAATATATATGTTTGGCTAAATACAATCATACATCATTATGGAATGAAAGGAGTAGTTGTTATTCAACATCTTTTTACAAATTCTACATCTAATTATTCCAACCTTGGAATTTAGTATGAAATATGTTAGTACTATTACACTGTGGAAATTATTACACAAAAGAAGGATCTAAAGGCCCGCCTCTCTCTATAAGCAAAAGAGAGGAGAACATTCTATTTCTTTTCACAAAAGATCCTTTAGCGTAATAAATTGTTAAAGAGGTAATAATCATTTAGCTTGATAAATAAATGCTAAGAGAAGAGAAGAAAACAATGTTAAAATCGATTGAAAAATAATGTGACTCCGCAACTACTATTTCCCTTATTTTAATTTATGAAATACATTTTCAGTCGACATAAAATTTATAAAGAAAAAAAAATTGGATTTGAGATCTTAAAACATGTACGTACAGTAATAATATTTCTATGACTACAAATATTTATGTCATAAATCATTTTTGAAAGGTAATATACTTTTACTATATCAATTTATGTGTCAAATAATTCAAATTTGATCGTAAATTTGGGAATGGAAAAATTTAGTTTTTTGAAATGAAATTACATATTTGAAAATTGCGTAAAAAATATTATAATTCAAAATATTTAAAAGATATATATATATATATAAAAAAAATTACAATAAAAGATGGAGTTGTTTAAATGTTAGAAATATGCCAGAAAAAGTAATGTAAAATAGGAAGGTAGATAACAAACCCAGGTGGGAATAAATAGGCGGGAAGTTAGTTGATTGGAGAAATAACTGAGAAAAACAGAAAAGGTAACAGTAGTGCCCCACTATCTTGCCGCAACAGATTCATATTTCGTTGACTACGTGGCATCAACAAAGGTATAATTTCACCATTGAACCACCAAATAAGAAAAGAATTCCCTGCTACGTATATTTTTCATTTCGATCACACGCAATAACTTACGTACTGCTCACAGTTAAAGGAGACAGAGAGAGTAAAAACCACACTAATTTCCTCACAAAACTCTCTGCCAAATTCTCATTTCTCTTCCGCACCTTCCGATCCGACAAATTTTGCTTATAGAGAAATCTGAGGCTTCGCTTTTGCTATCAAATCGAAAATCTACGCTTCTGAGTTCTGTTCGTTCCTCTAATTCTTATGAATTTTTCCAGAATCGACCTCGGTTGACAGTGAGTGTGCTCTTTAATTACCTGTATTGATCTTAGTGGAAGCACAAACTATGAGTTTCGTTATCATTTTCCTTGAGTTTTGTTTACTAAATTAACGCTGTGTTTCTGTTAAATATACTGTTCAAACGTGTGTAAATTGGTTCGCATTGACATAAACCCTAGCTCCTTGTTGGTTCTGATGCTGTTTTTCTGCTGAATTTTGAACGGAAATTATAGGTGTGTGTTTTTTTTTGGTATAATGTTTTTACGTGATAATGATATGTATTCGCGATTATAGTTTAGGGAGTTGTGTTGTTGAGTACTATTAAATAGGACGCGGATGTTGTCATGAACAGTAGTAGTTCGGGATATTCAAGGAGGTTTTGCTTAGATTTTAGATGTAATTGCTACATGCTAGGATATTTTGTTTAAATGTAGTTGATGCAACTAATTTGTTTGATAAGGTGATACTACTAGTGGAAAGTAATCTTAAATCATTTTTTTTCGGAAAAAAATGTCATTTCTTAATAGTTCGTGTTGAGATGCTTCCAAAAACCATTTTCCTTATTTTATGCTTATTCATGTTTATTGGTTCTTCTGAAATAGTTTGTATGATATTAGTATCCTTACTCTCTTGTACGTAGTCATCCTATGGAGGAACTATGGGGGCTCTTTTGCCAGCTACCAGATGTTTGGTATTGTCATGATCAAAGTGCTAGAGTTCATATAACAGCTTAATGAACAACGTACAGAGGAACAGTCTTGGAGAGAGGAATGTGGAACAGGTGATGTTTATTGCTAAATTTTTCTGTTTATTGCTGCTTTAGAATAGAGCAGATATTGAAGAAGGGCAAACAATTAGTTTCACTGTAACAGCTCCACATTGTGCTTTCCTAAAACTCCTTTTCCTCCAGGAATAGGTCTTTTTTGAGAACAAAAAAACTCTCACACCATTATGAGAAAGTTGGCTTCTTATTGCGAAATAACACTATAAATGTTTGTATCATTTAGTCAATAAAGGAATAGAATACAAACTGCAGGTAATAGAAGTACAGTAATCCTTCTGGCTCACCTAATCATGCAATGAATAGAACCATGACAATGATTACATCAACACCTATGTTTTTGCTTTCAGACCTTTACATTATATTTGTTTATCAAGACGGATGATGCAAAAAGAGAGAAGGTTCCTTGCAAATTCATATATTAACAACTGCTCCCAATACCTGCAATAAGCAGCAGTATATCCATTATGACCATAAATTTAAAATTAGAAGTCAAACTTTAGATAACATAAAGGATCCTTAGCTATTTCTTTTTCTGGTGGCTCCACCACTGATACCTATTTACTTTACTGCATGTTACTAATTGATTTACTTGTAAAACGACCAGTTTGCTTCTTTTTTTCCAGGAGAACATGTAATGTGATTATCTTCTGTAGATATCTAAAAAAGTTATTCTCTGTTAAAAAGGAGATAAAAGCTAGCATTGCTGTCACAATTAGATCCATTTTGAGTGCCATATTTTAGCACATAATTTCTTGGTGTGGAATGTCAGATAAAAAGAGCTTATAAATTTGCACTATTTTTGTTGTAGTCTGTCTTCCACTCCTGCATTAGCAAAATAATAATCCCTTTGTTCCATGCTGTATATAGAACTTTCCTTTTCAGTTCAATTCCAAATTGATTTTAGCAGAAAATTGTCAGTTATATTATACTCCACAAATAGTTACATGGATTCCATGTTCACTCTTTTGAACAGACTTCTTTCCCTGTTTCACTTTAGAACTCTAGAAACTAAGATTTGGACCTTTAAGTTTCCCTTGTTAAATAGTGGAAAATTTATAGTCTCGTAATAACCATACAAATCAAGATTATTAATTTGAGGAATAAGGGAGTATCTGTTGCTGATACGGTTAAATTTTTATATATGATTTGCTTGTTATCTTCAACCTACAGATCCTTGTTTTTGCAACTTGCAGGCCATTACAGCCTTAAAAAGAGGATCATACCTACTGAAGTATGGACGCAAAGGAAAGCCAAAGTTCTGCCCTTTTCGTCTTTCTACTGTATGAACTTTGCATTAGATTGTTCATTATTTCCCAATCATTTTGCATGTTTTTTTCATCAACTTATATTAAACTGATGGGGTGAAATAAATGTGGTTGGGTTTCCAATCCTTAAAGCGTAGGTTAGGGAAAGCTCAACACTTTCAATTTGATATTTCTTTTGTTCAAGCTACATGGTTTCTTGATGTAATTGCTTTTCCTATACTGTGATATCTTTCTCTTGCCAAAAGAGAGGATTGAGTTGAAGTTAAAGTGTTAGAACTTGGTAAGAAGAATGTGTAGAGCATCCTAGGCACCAGGCCAGCTCTATGCTTCTTTCTTTGTTCTGCTGCTTCTCCCCTCCCTCCCTCTCTCTCACGAGTCACGCCTCCCCCCCCCCCCCCCCCCACACAGGGAGACTCT